AGAGTATTTTAGAGGGGTTGGAGGAGAGTATTTGAGGTGAGAGATAAAAAGATTAAGGGCTCATAGAGTGAGAACTGTTAAAAAAGAAAAATTATAGATACCCCAAATTGGACTTTTTAGGTATATTCCAATACTTTTTGATATCACGCTACTAAATTTTCTAGTTATTTTTACATCCACCCTAACGAAAAGAAATTAGACATGTTGTCTCAAAGTAAGTAAAAAATTCCTCAAAAAACCCTACTTCGGTTGACCCTTTTGTTGGATTTCAAATTAATAAAGTCAAAATGTCACAGGATTTACATGGTGCAGAGTGCACAGGCGAATCCCATGTCTTCCACGGGAGTATACTTCCGCTTTCTTTTGAATTTCGCCTGCTTACATTTCTCCAAGCATTATTTCTCAAACTCTCATGCTTGTCTCCCCCCAAGATTCCTTGTACTCACCTTACACTCATTACCATTCCTATAAAATAATCTGTGTTACATCATTTACAGATTTTTTAATCTATATTTAAATTTGCCAATTTTGTAATTTAGCAGCCTGCAATTAGGGTTTTCCTTACATATACCCGAATCCTGATTCCCCAATAATTTCTGTGAAAATCTACTCTATAAAGTTTTGTTTGGGATGATGATAGCTCCATTAGATTCAGTGGAGAACGAATGATATTCAGGATTTGAGCCTCTCATGGCGAATATTCGCTCTCGCAGTGGTTTATTGTGGAAGAAATGGGGCCGAGAATGTATGTTCTTTGCGACCGGTTTTGGTTTCCTCTTAATTGTTCTTCTTCCTAGCTTGAATTCATGGAAAAAGGAAAGTGATATGATCCCAAAGCATTTTCCTGGAACTTCACCTGGTGATCTTGTGGATTTGACTCTTTTGCAAAGCTCAAAGGTTAAAGGAGCTGGTAAGATGCTCATTTTATTCATTTTGACATCTTTAAAAGCAATAATATTTGGTATTTGTCTGATTAGAGCTATTATTCTAAGGTCTACATTGTTTGTTGTCTCCTCAGTCATATCCTTAATACATTGTGTAATTCTTGAATTATATGATTTTTATAATTTAAAATTTAATTTAATTTTTTTTTTTTTTTGTTTCAGATTTTGTGAAGTCTTTCATGGATCATAAACTAGGAGTTAGACAAATTTGTGATTCCCTTTGCTCTTTATTTCTAGAAACAATTGGTTAAGGTGACCTCTTTTCTATTTGGTTTTCTTAAAAATTATTGGTTTCTGCAAGAATGCAAGTGAGTTCTTGACTGTATAATGCAGTATTAACTTCAAATTTTCAAAACAACTTGCACTTGTTGGGTGGTAAGACTGGATTCCTTTTGGCTATAATTCTTCAATTTTTTAGCTTTACAGTTTCTTTCATATTTTAGATCTTTAGGGCCTGTATTTGGAGGTACACATGCTGTTACAAATGAATTACCAAAAGGAAAGGAAAAGCTTCACTTTGGTAATTCTTTTGGAACATTTACCCAAAAAAAAATCTTTTGGAACATTTACCCCAAAAAAACATCTTTTGGAACTAATACACTACACTATGGGAATCACACAATAATGCATTAGCCCATAGACATTATTTAAGAGAAACTCAACTGGGTTATTGAGTTAAATTGGATTACATGCATGCACTTACTTTTTTTCGATAGTTGGGATTTTGAATGAAATATTACATAACATGCATGGATTGTTTGGACCAGATGGATGGGTTCCATGTCATTTCTTAAGCTGGATTTAGAGTGGAAAATATTAAAGATACCAAAAGACTTGAATTTGACAAGTAGATTTCGTTTTCTAGAAACGCTAGCAACTTAAATTCATGGTATTGTCATTTTTATGGGATTCTGATATATCTCATATTTTATTTTGAAACATAGAATGATAAATCCTAAATGAAACATCTATTCCTTTTCATACTTAGTCCGTATCGTGATAAGAACAAACATTATGAATTTACATTTAAGTTTCAATGGATGTGAATACAAGTGACTTTTTGTGCTTAAATAGTTTGTTTAGATGGAAGCGCTCCTGGATATCATCTTCAGAGGGGTTTTGGATCTGGATCAAACTACTGGATTGTACACATAGAGGTAAGTCCCTCACACATTTTGTCTAAATGATCCTCATTTTCTTCTATTTGCCTCTGGAATTCACATTGTTATTCATTTCTATTGACATCATACAAATTTATTTTCAGATGAAGTACCCAAGCATTAACAGATATAATGCCAATTTCGTGCTGATGTCAGGCTAAATTGCAATACCAATGCATCTTTAGAGTGGCTTTCTATGTCTCAGTTTGAAACCCTAACTGCAGATAAATTCTGCTAAATATTGTGGAAAATATTTGTGGACTGCCAAGTCACGATACTCTTGAAAAAAAATCAAAATTTGTTCCCAAGTCAGTGTAACAATAAAACATACTCACTCTTCTAAATCAAACCAACTTTAGGTAAAATTGTATTATTTGATTTTCTTTACAGCAACCTACAGCATTCTCTGCTGTCCATGTACATTTTTTTTTGTTTTGCAGTTTTTTAGTTATGATTGTTGATATTACTGTTCCTTTTTATTTTGGTTTGTTGATTGGTAAATGTGGTCCGCGGCTGCAACCTAGGGTGCTGAAATAGTAGCTTTAAGCCGCTAGGATACGTCCTACATGGTAAACACAGTTTTCTGTGTTACTGGTTGCTGGTAATGAGACCAACTGCTCTGTTGCTATGGTGATGCCCTTCTTCTCCTTTTATAAAAATTAGAAGTTACTAAAGAAATGCAATAATAATGCAAGGTTGGTAAATAAAAACAATGCAAGGTTTATCAAACAACACGCAAAAGACTGTAGTTGCATTGAACCCCATTGGTGAAGACCTCACCAGTTTTATCAGTAAATGCAAATTTATCTGTCGACATTTTAGGTTCCCTACTATTGTGACTATTATCAATAACAGTTTATCAAATGAATATAGTGTGTTACATGCTACTGAATGAGTCCGGCACTCACATTAACCTTGGAAAAGCCGCTTTCATAGAAACCAATAGATCTTGAGCTTTTCCCACATCAGATTAGTTTTTAGCCAAATGGATCCCATTGCCTGGATTCTTTTCCCCTAGTCTCTCATGATACAATGAAAAAGGCCTTCACACCTTCGTAGCATACCTTTCAAATTTAATCTTTTTCATCCTCGGGGAAGGAGGAGACAATTCACATGATACAGATTAGACAATCTTGAAATTTAAGGTGACAAATTTGATCCTCCAAAAGTTTTCCTGCTTTTCAAAATTTCTAAAAAATTCATAGACATATTTTTCATAGACGTAGTAGCTCACTTGATACATTCTACATTAAGGACTTTTACCAAGTATGCTTGAGAGACACTTCTAAATGAGTATTATCTAAAACTCTACCATGTGTTTCTCTCAAATGTTGAGTATACAATTAGTTATACACCGATGATGCTTTTCGCTCTTAATCATTCTTGTACAGTGTGCTGAAGTCCTATCTTGGCCTGGAAAGCTGCTCTCAACAATCTCAACACTCACATTTTCATCTAAAGTAAAGCTAAAGAATTTCTCTACTGTTAAGGGCACATGATGGATGCGTAGTTCTCTACTTGGTTTAACTTAGAGTGATACCAATTAATACTAATACATTTATTGGTTTCTTGAGACATTGAGTCAATGTTAGTTGGTTCATTCTAACTATATCTTTATAGCGTATGTTTATGTTTTCTCCAGATATTTGCCTCTGTGGTTGTGTCAAAAAATATGTGTATCTATATGTTAATAGTTACTATTTGTTAGTGTGTTACTATCTGCAAAGTTAAAAAAAACAAAGTTGGCTTAATACTTGGCTTGGTCGCAAGCTGTATCAAGTCAGAAGTATTGAAGAAAAATAAAGAAAAAGAACAAGGTTGAAAATGTAGAAAAAATAAGTTACAAGTCATCCAATTGTCCCTTCCATTTTGAAAATTCAAGGCCTGAGTTGACCTGGGTGAGTTTTGAGTTCCTTGCCCGAGTTTCTAAAACTTTCTAATTGATCTATTTTTTCACTTAGAATTAATTTATTCCTAGGATTTTTAAAGGTTCTCATGCAAATATCATGCTCATTTGTATTGTTTTCCTGATAGCTTTATTTTAATGGTATCATTTATGTTTAGTTATTATTTGACCATTGACTACTAATGGAAACTGTTGTTGTTCATCTAGCTCAAGCTGCTTGTACTTTGTCATTGCACAATTAATGCCAGTGTAAGCTCATCTTGACATACTGATTTGGTCTGTAGGGTGGAGGATGGTGCAACACCTTGGAATCTTGCTCTTTACGCAAAAACACTGCATTAGGCTCATCAACCTTCATGGAAAAACAAGTTCCTTTCTCTGGCTTCTTAAGTAGTAACCAATCACAAAATCCGGGTGTGTATGTACTTGCCTATGCACCTCTTTTTGATACAACTTGGGGAGCATATTTGGTTTTTTTAGTGCAACTTATGCAGACAACTTCATTTCTTATCTCATTTCTACATATTTGGTGCTTTTGTTTTTTGGGAATTCTCTATATAGGAGTTTGGGTTCATCAGCATAACGGATTTGCTTATTTCTTGTCATTTATTTGTGAATTTTGTGGATACCAACACAAGAAAAAAGTTCATCTTCCAGAGTTCCAATTTGTACTAGATACTTAAAAAAAAGGGTAAGTTAAAAGAGGGTAAGTGATTTGTACTAGATACTAGGTTCTGGAAACTCGTGCTACATACTATTTTCTTGCACCTTTAACTTTAAATGGACATGGCTGAGAGCTCTTCTGCATGAAACAGTTGAAAATGTAATTTGACGTGGCTGATAGCTCTTCTGCATGAAACAGTTGAAATGTTTCTCTTATTTCATTTGGGTGTTTTAGAGCCGTATTAATTTTGCAATTTCTCAGCAATTCCTCGGAAGACTGTTTCTCTTATTTCATTCTGGCGGGGGTTTTAGAGCCGTATTAATTTTGCAATTTCTCAGCAATTCATCGGAAAACCAATTCTTTACAACTTGGGTGCGTCAAATCATTACTGATTTTGTGATTTAAACTAAATTTCATGAGTTTGTCAAATCACTAGTGTGAATTGAGTTTCATTGTTTATTGCAAGTTGTCTGATTGTTTGGGAGCAGTGTAAACGTCAAAAAGGCTGGATTTAAAAAATATACACCCCACTTTATATTGGTTTTAGGGGTTGCTTTATTTAATTATAGAAAGAGCAGATAAAGCACTTTAGGATCACTACATCTCTAACAATTTTTTCATGTTAAAATTTGTGTATGTTAAGTTCGTCTATCAAGAAATGGTGTCGTCCTGGAGTGACGCTTGGTTATCATATGTATTCATGTGCAACTCAAAACAATCAAACAACTATGTTGAGCTACAAGTCATTGTGATCTCACCTTTTCAAGAACTAAGTTTCCTTGCTGGCGAACTGAATAAAAATCATAAAATTTAGATTTAGGTATGTCATCTAGAGTAAGTTTAAGCCAGAGAATGGTTTTGTGATGCTTGTGTTGCTTTTGTATTCAACTTCTCTATATGTTCTGGAAACTGTAAAAACATAGTTGTTTCCGCAAGTATATGGTATCTTAATGTTAATCTCTGAGCATTCAAGCATCTTTCCCTGGACCGGGTATGTATATATACAAAAAAGAACTAGATTCAACGGGAGAAGGGAAAAAACAAACATTTGCATGGTTTCCCTTTCTTCATTTTTGTTGAGGTTGGAGTTGGTTTCAGATGGAGTATTCCGTAGCATAGAATTTATCATTGCAATGGTTTCTTGAATTTCCAAGTCATAGTTCTGCTAGTTAGCACCATTCCTTTTTGATATCTTGTCAATATCTGAGTAGCACTAAGAAACAAAGTCCACATTGAGTTCATTATTTAATATTTGCTTCATTTTTTATTAACTTGTATGCTATCATTGGTGAATAACTGAGTATCCTTTTTCTTTTTGGGTATCATGCGATCAACATAATTTGTGGGGGCCAGATTGATATTTGAATATTCTATCTTGCAGATTTCTTTAGCTGGAACAAAGTCAGGATTCGTTATTGTGATGGTGCATCATTATCTGGAGAGTTGGAGGATGAAGTCCAGGTAACTTAGATGGCTTGCTTCATTAGTCCACGTTGTTTGTATTAATATGTTTTCTCCTTACATCCCAAACTTGTGATTGAGTGTTTCTTTTGATTGTATTTTTCTGGTGGTCCCCCAATGCAAAAGGGATATGGGCTCTTTTTCAGAGGTCAGAGAATTTGGCGAGCTATTATGGATGAACTACTTTTGAAGGGATTGGCAAATGCTCAAAAGGTTTGTACTTTGTGATGTTTGGAAGATCTACTAAAAGGGCAAATACTCTTAATAGGAACTGAAATGTAAAAGCAAGGTACACTATCATGGTTCAATATCTACTATAATGGAGTTTATCATCTAAGCTGTTTTTAAAGAAAAATTTCAAGCTTCTCACACTAAGCACCCATTTAACATAACTTATTTCCTATTTATCACACTATTAACTTTCTGTTCATGAAACTTTTGTTTACAAGCAACATTATCATCCTGATGTTTTGAATTCTTAGGGAAGGGTCATCAGGAAACATAGATTCCAACATGTGGGGTGGGCGGGAGTTGTAAGCCAAAGAGTAAAGGGGCCTGGGTTTTTGAAGAATTAAGGCTATTAACTAGGCGCAATTAAGAAAGTGGCAGAGGAGATATGTGACACAATCAGTCTAGCTATGGATGTAGGTGGGAATGGCTAGAGAGTCAGATTGTTTAGTAAAAGAACATTGCACAAAGGCAGATGCTCAGGTGTCACTGTAATAGCCAAGCTATTCAGCCTTGGCCGTAAGACCATATGTAACAGTGAAGGAAATCATTGAAGGCTCTGGTTTGCTGCTTTTCGTCGTGCTTTGAAAGTGCTCTCATAAAGCTAAGAGAGGATTTTCAATAGTTCTATTCGTCAAGGTTTGAAGTTGGCTTCATTTGGAAACCAAAAAGTAAAGGAAATAATTCATTGAGGTCGATGTATAGAATTCTAATTAGGAGTAACATTCAAAACTGATGCAGCCCAGAATACTGCTCTTGGGTATCTATATAAGAAATACAAACTTAAGGTATACAAGGGGAACTGCAAAAGGGCAAAATAGTCATTGAATTATCCTTTATGTCTTTTATTTATTTCTTGAGTCATTTTATTCCCTTAGGGGCATAAGTAGTAATTTCTAGAGTCTTTTATGTATTTTTATTCATTTAAAGTCGGTTATAATAAATGGCCATAATTAAATTAGTCGGATGACCAGGATTAAGTCTTGTTTAGGGTTTTCTTAGGTAAGAGATGTAGTCAAGCATTATGAAACATCTTGTTATGGATATTCAAAATCATAAAGCAGCTAGTGCTCCTTCTTTTAACTTTGGTTTTTGAAACTTTCTCTAATTTTTTGTCTTCCTTATCTTCTTCCTTGCTAAACCCAGCTCCAAGCTACTAGGTCTGCACCTGGCTGGTATTAGAATCTGACAGGCTGTGCAGTACTGTAGCACTGTACGGTGCCATAGTTATCGGGATCTCCTCCTTTGGTAAGCGATCCCTTCTAGGATCTCGATTTTGTCGCTTCTGGAACGGATCTCTCTGGGATATTGATTTTTAAATTTTGGGATCTCGAACCCACTGATAGGGATCTTGATTCATGTTGTTAGGGATCTCGATCCCAACTTTAATGACAAGACAACAACCAAACTGATGATTTTCCTTATTTATAGCCAACTAGCAACACAATTATTGCTTATTGCTATCAATAATGAGATTCCTACTTTAAACAGTATAAAAAATCCTAGATTATCATGCTCTTTAAGGTTGGTAACAAGATCCTTAAAAAGTTGGGATCAAGATCCCAAAATGTCGGATCAAGATCCCAAGATGTCTGAATCATGATCCCCAAAAGTTTGGAATCTCGATGCTTAACATTGGGGATCTCGATCCCTAGCATGTGCATTGTACGGACGACATTCCCAACCATAGGGTATCTTCTAGCATTTCACGATCCCATCTCTCCCGATCCCGATCCTGGTATTGTTCTTGCTTCCGATCCCAACAACTATGTACGGTGCTGTAGCATGGTATGTACTATTGTATGGTATTGTAGCGCGTTATAGACAAATACTGTAGCACTATATGGACGACACTGTCGCATTGTACGAACGGTACTATAGCATCAATTTTTGTGCCTTAGATCAACAACCATGCCTCTATGTAAAAGAAAATGAGGAAAAACAACAACCATAGAAGCCTTTGATGCAAGTTCACAAGATGGAATAGCAAATCCGAGTAGATTGGTCAAAACCCTAGCTCTGCATTTGGCATAGATGGAAGCCGCATCTCAAGAGTATGAGATCGAGGCAGTTGAGGAATCTATAAATACCTTCCATGATCAAGCTCAAAGGAGAGAGGTAGCTGATCATACACTAGGGATAATAGGAGGTGGGAAACTGGTCTCAAGGTTGATATCCTAGAGTGGTATGATGGATACCTCCAACCGGTCTCAAGGTTGATATCCTAGAGTGGTATGAGTGATACCTCAAACCGGTCTCAAGGTTGAGATACCAGAGATCCCTTCGACTTGTGATTGGCTTATTCCGAGACATTTGGGCAAGGAGGCTTGGGCGATACGACTAACTTAAAGCTTTGTCTCCCAAATCCTAACCAAAAGCTCTCTCTCTCTCTCTCTCGCTCTC